TAAAATATAAATATAAAAAGCATCTCGAATACTTGTGCAATGATCAATATTTCTGCAGAATTTAAGCATTTTTCGGCATGTTTAACATAACAAAATCCTCTATAGCGTATAATTATGGCTTCTGCCTTGAGAAGATAAAAAGTTTCATTTGAGATGGAATAGTGAGATATGATATTAGAAATTTCAGTATTTGAAATTAGAAACTTTTTAACATGAGCAATACATATATGCGTTAGATTCACAGTCAGTGTATTATGCTCAAATACACTTTAAGGAAAGGGAAAGGTATCTGTAACCCTTTTTTTGAATGATTTTCACGATGAACTCATAAGATATTTTCTCCCTCCTTCCAGTTTGCCCTCATGGTGTAACGGTAGCACACTCGGGGCGTATTGGAGAGATACAGGTTCAAGTCCCCTTAAGGGCATTGCACATTTTTCAAAATAAATGCTTCAAAATAACGTAATGGCTCTACAGTAGTGCCCGAACTAAAAGGTAATGGAAGATAATTCATCACCTACAGGATTTGGTGACTGGGTCCCCTAATCCCCAGTTGCCCTATGAAAGGGGCAGTTTATAAGGTATTTTCTCCCTGTTTCCAGCATGCCTTCGTAGTGTAACGGTAATAAACTCGGGGCGTATTCGAGAGGTATAGGTTCGATCCCGGCGAGAACATTGCACACTTTCACCTCTCGTGCTGCAAATTAACCTAATGACTCTACAAACTTTAAAACAACTTCAAATAGATATTCTGGGATAGAATTCAAAGCAACTCATTACTGTTTTCTAATTACTTTTTTGATTTACTTGTTATGCCTGAAATATTTTTTTAATTAACACTTTTTTTGCTTATGCTAAAATGTGTCCTATATACTCTCGGTAGAGCAGTTGAAACTGTAGGATTTGGTCTGCTCTTCCAGAATATGTAAATGAGAGCAGTTTATAATTGGGTAGGAATCTAAATTAAGAAAATGAGGAATGGCAGCACCAGCGAACCTTAAAATGATATACCCATGTTGTACCCGGCGCGAGTGGTACTTCTTCTTAGTTTATGAGTTACTCTTAGCTGTTGAGTTGAAAGTAATAGCTCTGAAAATTTACTGTGCCAAGTGCTACTGCAGAAATTAATTTGTGAATTATATATAATTTGAATTTATGTTTTAATGTTATTCCCGCCAGCAGCAGAAGTCAATTTATCCTAACTTTTGTTATATACTTCAGGCTGAAGTCTAAAATAAATTTTAATTGCCTTTATTCTACAGTTCTATTCTGCACTATTCCATATGGCCCTACTCAAGTTCAGAGTGCATCGATACAATAATCCTAATCCTGCAATAAAATCTAATTTGTCGTAGTCCTTGGTTGTTTTTCATCATACTAGTGTGGTAGTGAATATAATAATAAATAACACAAGTCCTGTACCAAGTCCCTTCATTTATGCTGGAGTGGCTCCGAAATTCTTGTTTCAGTGCTTTAAAAAGCAAATTTGTGGAGTTTTTCTTTAGTATTAGAGAATATATGAAGCTTTTCGAAGCTAAGAAACATGAGAAAAACAAGAGTACCTACTCCGAGATGCAGACAATGGATCTACGTTTCTCTAGCTGGACTTACATTTCGATAGTACGTACAGGGAGTATGAAAATTCATTTTTGTTTTCCTCCATTTAAAAGGTGACTGGAAAAAGGTAAGAGAGACATTCGGCTAAACCAAGCAGTGAAGAATTACAGGCCATCATATTTTAGTTCGGAAGTCACTGTAAAGTAATATTTGAATGATGAATTTTCCAGCTGTTAACTGGACGTGCTAATCGCTTGCACCAAGAGAGTATGTACAGGGAATATGAAAATAGTTAACAACGTACAAGCTAAGTTACTGTACTGCACTTGCACTAATTTGTTTTCAAAGTATCACTAGTTTGTTTTCAAAGGACATGAGTCTTTGTATCTGTAAATAGTAATTAACTTTTGTCATAACCTTTCTATTTCTGCTCTACTGTAAGGAATAATTTTAGTGCCTACAAAATTTTATATCATGTAAGACAACATTGATGGCGTTCCATCAGGCAGATGATTCCTCTCGCTAACAGATGGTATTATATATTATTTTCTCTTCGTTAAATGTTTTCTGCAACTTATTTCATCATGAGAATACAGTAAAGGTTAGCGCTAGGCATTTTGCAGCATGTTGCAATCTCTGCGAGCCCTAAATTCTGCTGTCCATTGCCTCTCTAAGTTTTAAAATTTTTGCCGCTCCCAAACTCTACTGCCCACTTCATCCTCTGAATTCTAAAAATTTCACGATCCCTCTTAATTCTTCTCTGAATCTGAAAATTTGGCCGCCTCTGAATTTTGCCTGCTGGTGCAGCCGCAACAGAAAAATAATTGTGTTTTCAACGCAAGCATCTAACTTCAATAGCGCTTTGTATTTAACACGGTAAATCGTGGAAATGTTTGAAATGAGCCTTTTCGAATGAAGCAAACGGAGTAGCAGCACATTAGCTCCTTTGAGCTGAAAGGCATTAACTGAATACTTGAGACTGAAAATAGAAGTGACACTGATCTTAGTATGAGATGTCAGATGTTTGAAACTAGTTGATTGGTTTTGGTTTACGTGATTACGGCAAAGCTTCGAGAGCTATCTGCCTAAGGGAAGGCATGCCTTCATGGAAGACTATCTAAGGAAAACTGGCTTATATACACATTACACACGGGGAAGACCACGAAAACGCACATGCACCAACCCGTTTGCGGGACTCGAACCTCGGAACCAACTACCAGTGCTCAGTGATTTTACCGCTATGCCTGTGGTAGGCCGTAACACTGATTGAAACATGAAATATAAGTGTCACACTGATTTTTGTATTATTTTTTCTTGGTATTACACCTCTTTAAAATAAGTTTTTATAAAATTAAGATCTTTTTATATTTCAATGACAAACATATGCAAATTAAAATTCACCCATTCATTTAAGCCTTACTATCAATCGAAGGCCTCGTTTTCTTCAGGTAGTACAGTATCTATTCATGATTTGTTGAAAGTTGCCATATATTCCATAGCAATAGTTAAATGTGATAACAATTTAAATCACGAAATTAAGGGAAGAAGAAAACTTACTTTTCAAAGATTTTAAACTGCAGTAAGTTACGTGTAGAATAGATAGTTACGTGTGCTGTTAAATTGCCCTTGGTTTACAAGAATTTTGAACTAAAAGTTGATACAGTAAGGATAACGTAACTGAGTATTAACATTAAAACGTATACGGTTTAGTGAAGGGGAATTAAATAGAAACGCCTCTCATATACCATTTTTAAATTTCCTTCTGCTTAGTTTATATTATTTGCCTTTCAGACGAGAAAGTGGTTAATCACACTGACTGCCGTACAGAAGGGCCCGGGGTCGTATATTGAAGAAAGCATGGATGTAATTTGTCTGTCCCTTCATATGAAGCAACGGTGGCGTACTTGTTAGGTGCCTCCATAATTAAAGTAACCACTGCTTCCAGTCTCAGTAGTGGCCAACGCGTATAAAGGACTAGAGCCCGCAATTGGGGGGGGGGGGGGTAGAAAAAGTTTATGTTATTTTATTTGCCTTTTAAACATTTTGTATTAACTTCAAGGAACAGCGAAAACATATCTACTTTACAGTTATTATGTTTTTGATTAGATTTTCAATCTTGGTAAAGTATATAAGAATTACGTGGCACAAAGTTTTGACAGCTTTATAACATGAACATTCTAACTAAAATAAACTAACAACAATAAATCTGCCAGCTGACACAGGTGGACGTAACTTACATTTCTTTCAACAATTTCTACTCTTTGGTTAATGTAAGCTTTTCTATGCAAAATATGCAATATTTCCTTCTTTTACGTAACTTTTTTAATTCAATGCAATGAGAATGAATAATTTTTTAAAAAGGTAAATGAAATTATAAACGCTTTTTTTAAGCTTTACCAACTCTGGTTATATATTCTTCAGTATAAAAAAAGAAGTCTGGTTCTTTTTAAGATTCAAACTACGTAAAGGCCAAATAACTGCAGAGATCTCTTCAAAATTATCAGTGTTTTTCCTGGTTTTAATTGTCATATGAAATTCGGATACATTTATGATCTTTGAAGACAAAAAGGTCAAGCCTGAACGAAAACAATATTGAACCATAAAAAAGCTAATTTATTGCTCTTTGAATATGCTTAGTCTCATTTAACTCGTAATTGAGGGCATCTTTTTACCTTCATTAACTTTTTATTCCTTCCCCCTCAAACTTAGATATAAAGTTTTTAGCCACTTCGATGTAATTACTACAAATATAGCTTAAAAGGGTAGCTTTTGCTTTAAATATATTTGCAACTTAAGAAATCAAGATAAATTCAAATGAAGCAAACTTCTACACTCCTTCATCAAAATTCGTAGAAATTATACCACATTACTTGTGATGAAATTCTTCTTCAAGAGATTAGCTATATGCTTTCATTTTTAGTGAGTCTTTTCAGTTTCTTAAGTCTACTTACCTGCTGAAAACAAAAGTGTACATCAGTTTTCAACGATTTTTTAAACGTTCAGTTTCAGGATGTTACTCGCAATAGATACATAATTTGTCTCAGATGACTGGCGTTATCGACAGAGAAATCTGGTTAAAAGTGCGTCTTACACAAACAGTGAGGTAGGAAAACTTTTTAATCAAAAGTAGAACGGACTCTTTTATAAGTGGAACATGCCTTAGGGACCACAGAATTACACGCTAATCGGACTATAAGGTGCCTCAAACAGGTTCGCAGTGAACGCGAAGCTTATAAAAAATCTTCAAATCTCGTTTAAAAAATAATAGTGACGGTTTGAGTCCGATAAGTTCACGGACCTTTTGGAAGAGCGAAAATGTTTCCGTCAGAAGGAGGTCAATTTTATCGAGGAAAAAGGAAAAGCGCATTTATTTTTGGATATGTCCCATGTAGGCGTGGTGAAAAGTGAGTCAACGGAATAATGCAGAAAACTAGAATGACTTTTCTCTCTTTGCCTCCTAACCTACTTTTTAGGTTCTTAGATCCTTTCCCGCTCAGACCCTAACGAAATTTCAATCTTCAGTCATGGGTAACTAGTTATTGTCGAGCGGTTTCTTAGACTTTCCTTTCATTTCATGGGTTTGCGCAATCTCATCTCTAGCTCTACACTTGAAGGTTGAGGATATACCAGCATTCTATGAATTGTAGCGAAGGTCTCAGTTTAAACAGTGTGACTTTGTGACTTCTTCTGCAGCGGAACTTCACTGACACTTTTTCTCTTTACTATTTGCCCAAGGATATCTACCCTCTTTATCTGATTAAATTAAAGGAAAGGATTTGTTTTAAATATCAACACATCTCGTATCAGGTTAGGTGTGATGGTGTTAATTTGGTTGTATACATAATGTGTTGCTTAGCAAAAAGGTTTTCAAAATAGTGACATGATTCAAGTCTATGCATATTCCTTTATTTGCAGCTGAGAGCTATCAAGAAGCGATCCGTAAGTATTTTTCTTAACTATATTTTTAATTTAAGATTTAAATTATACTTTTATTCAGATAAATCCATTTCCTATCAGCTTCGACCTATAATCTTAAGAAATGATACAATAAACATGTCCTTCAAATGTAAAATATGGATGATTATTCATTCTATAGTTATTATTTTTATCCTCTTATTAATTAGATCCATTTGAAATTAAAATAGTTTTTTATTAATGCTAAATAAAATGTATGCATTTTGATATTAAACTTTTTCCAATATAAAATAAAAACTAAGAATATATTAAATCTTTTATATACGCTTTTCCGAATGATCTACACCTACATCGAAATATTAAAATAATTTTATGACATTCTTACATGAATTATTATCGCAAATAAATTCGACCGTGATTTATTCTTTTGTTAATCTATTACATACTACGCATATACTTTACACGAATGCTTTTTTTTTTAGTCAAAATGTTTCCATAAAAACACTTAAACTTTCTTTACCGTTATTTATTTTAATTTCTGTTCTTGGTTAAAGCAGTCAGATTTATAATGCAGAATCATATCTTTGCTTCGAAGTTGTGCTTTTTACTTTGTAAATATATTGTCATCTCTTACTACTGATCATTATATATTTATTCCAGCTTCTCCTTATTTTGTTTTACATAACTAAGATAGATTTCTAGAGCATTCCTTACATAATCGCCTTAGTTACCTTGAGCAAATTAGCTAAAGCAATAATGTAACTAAAGCATATTTAGTTCAATGTAACTTATGTAACTAAAGCAATTTTTTATGAATTAAAAATGATAAAGGCAAAAGGTTTTTGCTACATCTTGGAAATGAATTAACTTGCATATTAAACGTTTGTATCGATGATGAGAACATCCGGCATTCAACACATAAGTTTAGAAATAATGAGGGGTTTTGAAGAAGAAAATCTTGAAAAGTTAATTGCATCATCTCCAAGATATGAATGCAAGTCTTCGCCAAGACCACGTGGGAAGAATGTCTTTAATTCCTTATTCCTCCCTAAAGGCCGACTAGCGGAGAATGTGATGTTTATTCGGGCAAATCTCCTCGGCGAAGAATCATAGTTCACCAACGAAAAACTGTTCTTGAAAACTACTTTTCAGATTTCAATACTTGTTTATGAAATATGCACTGAATTTTTAACATAACTTTTACATATTTTAGGCTTGGTTGCATTTATTCTCTCGTTTTTCCATTATGCTTGATCTTCAGTTACGTCTTCTGCATAATATTATTTTTCTGGGATTCTTTTCGATAAATGTTTAAAAATAAATGTGATTATTAATTAAAAGTTAGCTTTCAGCCTTTAGCGAATTTTTGTCTTTAATGATATTAAAAACTATCAAGTCTTCAGTTTGCCGGGTGGATATGCCGACCAATCCAACTACTGAATCTTCAATTCAATATTCTTAAAGACAAAATTTGCCTATGGTTGAAAGCTTCAGAGCACCAAAATATACTTTCTCACATGTTTATTAATATTCTTAATATACTTATGACTGGAAACTGTGAACAAATTCATTAAGTAATAGCGTATTAAACCGCAATAACGGAAACTTAAATTATTTCCAATTGAACTTTTTCCCATTAAATCAAACACTTATTTCCAAACTGCGACAAAATAATGGCAAAAATAACACTTCAGGTGACAGATTGGAAACTATATTTATTTTATCATTAAACTTGTAGCACTAAAAGAATTACATATCACGAGAAATATGATAATACGCTTAAATTTAAGCATGACAATTGTTTTTGGTACGATATTTGTTTTTTCGAAAAAAAAAAAAAAACATAGTAGACTATTATAATGAGTTTTGCTTAGTAAAATAAACAGCTGCAGAAATTTCAGATTTTTCTTACATTGTTTAAATTAAAAGTGTCACAGAGCTCAACTGATAATACAACTGTCATAAAAGGAATAGATAATCATATCGAATCTGAAAGAAAACCATTTTAGCAAAACCACAGTAAAAGGAATTTACTGAAAACTGCAAAATAATGCATAATTATACAAAATCAATCATTTTATGCTGGTACAAATGCAAAATATAAGCGAGCCGTACGATTTCATGTGAAATTTGAATCATTTTAATGCTTTTATTAACAGTGTATTAACAGTGAAACCATATTCAGGTGACATTAACCCCATTATCATCCCAACATTAATGGTAGTCTAAAGGTTCTTATGGGTTGTTTAATAATTTTAAATTCTAATACTAATCTGGTACAAAAAAGAGATGTAGATAAATTCAAACAAAATTTTCCTAGTTTAAATCATTACTCAAAGGCTAAGAAAAACATAACTAAGGAGAAAAATTACTTAGTGCTCAAAACTACTGGTAGCAAACATTGTTTGTGCCAGCACCGTATCCCTCTTCGACATTAATTATTCTCAGAATACTTGGAAAGTTATAAATATGAACACTATAAGTTTCTGTTATCTAGAATTTAGTTCTATCATAAATATTACGTCTCCGAGAAACCGGGCGGCTTTAATTCTTGAGCATAAGGGCAGCTGATAGGAATCCTTTTTATTTTTGAGATAAAAATTTAAAATGCCCGTTAGAAGATATTATAAACGTCGATAATGCCATGCATTTAAAAAAAAATTAATTGATGACTGCCGGGTATCATCAGAGGCCATTTGATTGCTTAACTGCATCCAATGATACCGATGGTTGTGCATTTACTGAAGAAGATGATGAACTTGTTAATTGAAGTTATTATAATTATTGTGTTGCTTCTTTTCTCTTTGAATTAAAGACTTCATCAGAAATTCTCAGCTTTCCCACCGTTTGGCATTCCTTTTTAAAGGCGAAAAATTCTGCTGTATTTAAAAGAGAATATTTTCACTTTAAAGGTTTTTTTTTTTCAGCTATTCAAGATGAAGAGAAGTTTTTCTTTGGCTTTCTTCGCCCTACTAATCTTCTCAGAATGATTCATAGTTGAAGTAAAACACATGTACGGAACATGTTAAAATGTTATTACATATTCAAATTATGTTTTTCCTTTTTTTCGTCTGGGAAAAATATCGATTTTGGGCCCTTATTGTTTTTGAGGGAGGGGAGGGGGCGAGAAATATATTTACACCCACCTTTCAGAAACAGAATTCATACCAGCTGAAGCATGGAAATTGTGTTACTGAGAATGCATTTTGTAGCTAACCTTCCGTGAAGCTTTGAATTTTCCCACAGAAGAATCTCCTACAGTTTATGAAAAAATGTTATGGCTAGTACAAGGAAATTTTGGGTGTTTTTCGGTCATCAGAACAAGTCCGTTGTTGCACTTGCATCCTGTCACGTATGGAACGGAATTTAAAGAATAACGATATTTTTGTTTGTAAGTTGTTTTCTCGCAAAATTAATTAAGTACCATTTACTTTTTTTCATTTATAGCTGTTTGTTTTTAAATAAAAAGATGTTCTTTTTGTAAGATATAAGCCCCAAGGTTCTTAGGATGCAGATATATGATACAAAAATCATACGTATGGAATGTATTCTATCAATCAGCGTTGGCATTGACTTCTTTGATTCAATTAAATTCAATTATCTGTCCGTTAATTGTCAGAGTATTTTGTGTTTTGTGATACATACTTAAAAAAACAATGTATGATTTGAAAATATTCATTTCGGTAATGTTATGAACTTATTCATTAAATAGTAATGTATGCAATAATATGTTGAACCTGGGTTTGGGCTTGTATAACAAAGATTTTTATATTTCTGACTATTAATTTCGGTTCGTACTTTGTTCTTGAAGCATAAAAATAATTTATTAAATCTATTGATTTCTGCTGCATAGTAATCAACCGTAAATAAAGTCTAATTTATTACGATATGTATACAAATAAGATTAATTCCTAGATTCTACGTAACTCTAAATTTTTAAAGCTATTATTATAAATTTGAATTTCTTGCAACACTCGTGTTATCGTTTTATAACGGATCTATTACATATTATTTATTGCAATATTTTACTCATCTTTGTAATGTACTTTTTGTATGCAGTAGTAGTTATCGTGAATTTGTGCGCCTAAAAGTAAATTTAATCATTTAAATGTAAGTGCAGAGAGTTTTATAGTAAAACTTGTACCTGTTTGTATTATAAGCTGTTATTCGGCAAACATGCTTCCTAAAACAATTTCAACTTCTTTTAACTTTTTATTTAATTAGGCTTAAAGATTGGTTTAGGCCGTATATCGCGTTTTAAAGCACTTGAATACGATAGATAGCAGCACAAGAGCGTTAATGAAAGACATTTTTCATCAGCGTTTGGGGGGAGGGGGCGGGAAGGAAAGAACCACAAATATTTTTTCATCAAACATCAGTTTTGATATTCTTTAATTTTCTTATGTACTGTTTGTACAATTTTAATTGTTATCGTATGATTTCACATGATTTTTACATGTATAAATAAATACAAATATCATACATAAATTCACACATGTACACTCACCTAATTTCAATCATGCAGGCGCATCAGTTCGACAGAGTGAATGCGTTGCACCGACTGAATACCAGTGCGTAAACGCTGTAAAGGTTGACTATATAGTTCTTCTGTAATGATACAGTTAGATATATTCACTGTGCAGCAGTGGTCTTCAAAACTTGTCGACTTAAAAACCCTTAAAAATCTAAGGGGTTTTCGGGGAACCCATCCAAAACTTTAAAAATAATATTTAAAGTAGATGAATACGCTGCAAGCGCTTTATGTAAAAACAATTAAAGAAAAATACTGTTAAAAGATTTAACACAAAATTAATGTCATTTACTCAGTAATAGCATTAATTGTGTTCCAGGTTTCACCTGCCCTTACATTATAATTAATGACAGGTGTGTGTTGCACTTTTTTTACACAAACACTCTAAGTTTAACTCTATTGATATTATCTGCAGTCGTATTGATTTGTTTCTATATTTTGTTTTTGTTGCCACGTCTTTGCCACGTTGCAGAAACATCTTTTGCTTAGATGT